AAAAAAGCCGCCAGACTCGCGTGTCCATTCCAGTACAGTCTACCTTGATGCTCTTTTGCTATTCAACGCTCAAAATAATAATTGATACTTCGCTATTCAAAAATTCCAAAGATTTTCACAAATCACTGATTATAGATGCAACGAATGAACACTCATCCAAAGATGCACTTCATCTTTCTGGTTATATAGCATCAAGAATGTTTGAAGTTAATATGTTTGAGGTTTTTTGGAAGATTTTTAATTGTATCTTACTGCAGATTCGATTGTTTTCGAATAGAGACGCCACGCTTTGCTACTCTTCTTAGTTCGATAGCAGTCCTGATAAAAATTGTACTGGTCTTGACTGAAAACCAATACGTTTCAATGGGTGTCGATCAGTGATTACGCTGGTAATCTGCCTTGCTGCTGATAACGCTAAGTGATTAGCAGTTTGATAGAGCCCAAACATTGTAAATAACTAATCAAACTTCAATCCAAATCATAAACCATATTGCTAATTTGAAGAGAACCACATTTAATCTGTGAAAAAAGATTACATTCTTCATTCGTACGATTTTTTGTGATCTCACTGGACAATGCATGAAAAATTAATGATCAATGTTCTGAGAGCAACAATCAAACCAGCAACTGAATCGATGCCTTGTTCATGCTAGCACCTACTAACAATAAGCCTTCACATAAACCAGTTTATATCTTCGAATTCGACCCTTCAAATTACTTCAAATTCGTCTAAATAAAAGTTGGAAAATGTGTTACCTGGGCTCCATATTGATGAATTTGCTGAACTGAAACATACAAGCATTCACTATTCATTCAACAATAGAATATCAGAAAGTATCTGAATTGAACCAGGCAGCTCATCAATAGCTGCATTGCATCTACTCAAACAGTTTTGATTCCGCCACCGAAATGACAGCAACTCTTAATGCTTTGTGTGAAGCCGTGGCATGCTTCAGTGTTGAATTGCTAACAGAGACTTTGTAAAATCTTGCACGCCTAACTGCTAAATCAGATGCTGAACACAGTCAAGCAGCCATCATTTCATTACGGATTTTTGCTAATGATCTACCGTAAATCAGATTCAGTCGAATGTTGGTTCTCATCACTGAATTTTGGGGTCTGAATTGTTTCAACTCGTACCAAACCAACCAACCCACCGATTTCCCACATGCGTTGTCTTTTGGATTCAAATTTGTGCTATTGAAGTTAATGCTAGCGAAAAAGTTGCATTCGTCTACATCAATCGATTTACAGCAAGATTCTTTAATATTTTTCCAATCGCTGAAATTGAATTGAAATCGATACATAATTCTGTTGATAGTGTCCATGTATAACTCTAAAAAGCAATTTATGAAAACTTAAAACTGAGATTCTCTGAAAGCAAACATTAAAACCGTACTATAGTCCAATACGTCCATGATAGTGATGGAAAAGAATCAACGAGTTCGCAAGTTTCTCCACATTACAGTAACCATTACCAATCATCATACCCTAAAAATTGCAGAGGTAATGATCATCAGTCGCATTCGAACCATGTGAAAGTTGTCAGTGATCGAGATGAACAAAAATGGCTGATAAGTATAAACTGACTAGGAAACCTCACGAAGTTACCCCCGCCTTTCGGAATGAGACCTATATCATATTGTAGTGCTCGTGGAGCTAATCACGGGTATCCAAGAAATTTTTGCAATGGACAAGGTGAACGCGAGTTATGGTGCGAAAAAGATTTTCAGTGGATTGAAGTGGGTTTCTAAATTTCCATCGGGCATCGGCGGCTTGGCCTGGCGGGTAGTGCGCCAGCATCAAGTGAGATAAAATCATTCTAATGAAATGAACTTCGTCTCAGCAAATATTCACATTTCTTATTAATAAGTGCACGAAAATATGCCTTTGCGCTGTCTCGTATATAACTGATCTCAAACACTCAGTCAAAAGTGTATCTTGTCAACATGCTACCACTATGATCATGCCCTGTGGTGATTAACGTTAACCTGGAATTTGGTATTCGGGAACGTTTTGTCGTTAATGCCACGCACGATGAGTCTTGCAAGTGTTGGAATGTATATGCCTGCATATGATTCGCCAGATATGAAAAATGTTCGCGTTTTGTATTGAGGTTGCACGCGACTGAAGAAATCGCTCAAAGCGTGTAAGTTTATATCTGAAATCAACATCGCTCGCTGACAAACGACTTTATGCAGTCACGAATATTCACTGACAACTGTTACTTGCTATCATATAAAAATTTACGGATCCACTCGAGGATATGAACAGTAATTTCAGAAATTCTCACTGAAGACCATTCTGAATGGGTTCTGCATGCCATGAATCACAGTGATTAAGCCAAAATCACACCACATTTTGCGTATGTCTAACTCATTGCTTTTCATAATCTGATTCATGATAACTGGTAAGCGCATGGACAGGATTTTTTCCAGGGGGATCTAAAATGGTCTGATTCCAAAAACTCGCTGTATTCCGGGGTCAATTTTTCTGATTTTTTTCTCCATTCTTCGGCTACTATCTCCGTTTCCCTCTTCTTTTGCTTACTTCCTTCTACCTTCCGTCTTCTTTCCCTGTTATTTCCCTTCTCATTTTCCTTTTCTTTTCACCCTCCGCGGGGCGAGGGAAGGCGGGGGGGGAGGAGGGCGCTGACCGAAGGATTTCAATTAATGATGTATCTCTTTGAAGCAATCCACTCCAACAAATGTCTACAGTTTTCTGACGCAGTTACAGTTGTGCATTATGCTCCCATGCAAATAATACCACTAATGAGAGGTTTTGCTGAAATTTCATGGCGATAGAAAGAATGAACGCACCCGCCGTGAGATCGTCGCCAACAGTGTAGCTCTTCGGATCTTCTGTGTTGTACGAAAAACCCGTACCGACAGGCGATTCAATGAACAGAACGTTCGCATGCTGAAACGTGATCAATCATCGACTTAACATCGCTTTTGATGGCATATAACTGATCCACATCAATTACTCCAGCATATGCCCGCATTCGGAATGCATTCAAATCAATACGTTCATTCGAAAACATCGAAACAACCGTGTAAGTTGCATGAATTTGTTAATTAGACTTTTAAATTTCTTCAACTGATATCATCGTTGTAACCTTATGAAGATCACGGAAAAGGTCATCGAACTACAAACCGAGAGATCGAATTCACATCTAATTAAATTTTTAGCGTTTTCAGATAGAATAGTGTTTCGTCAAGATCATAAATAAGCCAGTTAGTGAGTAGTACTCTGTTCCATGCGTACGCATGTTGGAAGAGCGATTTTCCATCACGATTCACGTAGAATGGTCCAAGTTCTTCAAGCGCTCCAGCTACCGAGCTGCATCCAGGACCACCACTAAGCCATAGCAGCAGTGGAGCATCCTCTGGGTGTTCGTAAGCCTCCACCAACCTGAAGTAGAGCTGCACAAGTGATCAGCACCACCATTTCAAGTCGAATTTTCACAGTGAGCTGAATTATTCGGCAAATTTCATTCACACTGATTATCTCCTTTGCCAGTAAACAGCGATGAGTTCGATGTGAATGTGATCAATATTGGATGAGATCGATTGAAGTGGAAGCTAACCAATTTACTATGAAACACAAAACGAACCAATAAAACATTTTGAATGTTCCTTCTTTGTTTCCTTTCAAATAACCACTGTACATTTTGTACGGATATTCGAAATCAGCATACGGCATCTCAGCCATGCGGTCATCCTCCTTGATCGCATCCGTTAGATGATTAGTACAGCAAACAAGAAACGTTGCTAGCACAAACAGCAACATAGAAGCCAGTGAATTATTGGTTAGAGAAGAACAACGTTGCAACATTTTCCTTCAAATTTCATTCA